CTGACCACCTGAGAGCCCACACTGGCTACAAAATTTTGCTATTTGGGGCCCTGTGACTTCTAGTTACGCCCCTGTAAGTACCAGTGGGTCAGGGAGCATAAACGGGCAAAGTGACGTTTCTTTAACATGTGTAACATGTGCACTGCAATACATTGGACATATATAAAGGAGGTGTCAACAAGGCCAGTGCATGGTGGTGCTATTGTCACGTGTCTTACACACTATATGGCAGTGGACTATACATGCTGTGATTTGTGATGCTCTGCATTGTGTTGGCGAGTTGAGGTGCATTGGCAACCTATTTGAATTAATGGGTTCCCTTAACACAACACACAATAACATGCACCTTTAATGTGTGCGAACATGTGTGTATCTTATTTTATTATTATTAGTTACTCGTAAAAGTATATACACCAATGAGACAAGTCTTCTTTAGGGATATCTCTGACCCTGATGTTTCACATATGAGCTACAAAAAGAGATTAGGGACACAGACTCTTTCTTAGCTGCACTTTAAGTTCATTCACAAACTGGAGATCAGTAAAGATGTCTCACGTTTACTGGTCTCTGTCAGTTCCTGAATGAACTCGGAAATGCTAGGTACCGTTAGCCACCAATCAAAGCCATTCACAAATTGGTAAGTCCAGGGTACTTCTCTGCTATAAATTAATTGTTGATGCAGAGACCATGAGCTTATAGCCTAAGGAAATGATGCTGACAAAAGGGTTGCAGAGCCATCCTGCAGCAAGCAGTTCTGCTCTGCTATGTCAGAACTTTTGATATAAAATTTGTATGAAAATAAAGAGATCAAGTTCATCTCAAACTTAAGACACTTGTGTATAACATTACGAGAAAACCAAATAAAAGTGTGTACACAAGCTTACACGCGAAGACAATGAAAAACACCTGAGATGTTTGCCTTGTACTCCTAGGACTATTGTATCTTAGGTATGGTCTCTGGAAGGTATGGTCTCTGGAAGGTAAACAGAGGTTTACTGACCAGGCTATAAAATTTGGCCAAGGCCTTTGCTCAAGTTGGAAGTTATCACACTAGTCAAGCTTTGCTTAAATATATGACATGACTATTAGGGATGCACCGATACCGGTTTTTCGGTATGGAGTACCGATATTTTTTTTCAGTACTCGACGATGCCGAAAGTCCCATAAAGAAAGACCGGTGGCATGTAATAACTCGCCACCTGGCTTCCTGATTAGCTGGGAAGCCAAGCGGCTTGTAAAGACTCGCCACCCGGATTCCCGATTAGCAGGGAAGCCATCTCCATGCTCCCTCGTGGATGATGAGGGAGTATGGAGTCTGCTTTCTGGCTAATCAGGAAGCTGGGCGCTGTGTAATAATGTGTAGCCTGGGCTTCTCCTGGTCGAGAAGCTGGCCAATCAGGAAGGTGAGCAACAAGACATTACACGGCACCCAGCTTCCTGAATGGCCGTGAAGCCGTCTCCATGCTCCCTTGTCATCAGCTGACGAGGGAGCATAAAGCTGGCTTTCTGGGCAAAAAGAAAGCCGGGTGGCGTGTAATGACGTGCTGCCCGGCTTCCTGATTGACCGGGAAGCCGGCTCAAAAAGTGACGAGGGAAGATGGAGCCGGCTTCCTGGCCAATCAGGAAGCCGGGCAGCGTGCAATGACTCACTGCCCGGCTTCCTGATACTGGAAGTATCGGGCTAGGCATCGGAGCATTTGGGCGAGTACGAGTGCTCGCCCAAATACTCGGCATCGGCACCGATACCACTATCGGTGCATCCCTAATGACTATTTAAACAGATATCCTAAGAGATGGACTGGTACAAATCTTAAAAGGGTCAAAAGTTGAATGAAAATGTTTTATATAAAAGACCTTCTGCATATCAAAAGAATTCAAGGACTAAGGTGAAGAATAACACTAAAACGTAAGAGAACATATTCTCTTATATCGTTAAAGAACAGGTCTGTTTGTGAGAAATTGACACACAAGTATCTTATACATAACCTGTTCTATCAATCAACCACCTAAAACAATCAAATATCTACATGTTCATGGTGAAATCTAGAGAATGTAATAATAGATAAGTAACTGATTTCAAATTTTTTATGAAGCTTATTGTTTATTTTGTATCTTGCTACTATGCAAGTCCTTTTTGATAAGTTTCATAAATTATCATGAATAAACCAACTTACCACAACCAGAGATTCAATAATTAAAATGAGGCTGATAAAATGTATTATTAAATTGTCACTTATAAAATCTTAGGAACAGAATATTGAAAGAATATATAACAGTTATTCATATACCTCCCACTATATTTATGATTATATTAGTAGGTATAAAATATAACACATTTAAATGTAGCATATAAGTGAAGGTACGATCATTCAGATTAGCCTGATACACAAATCACTTTATATAAATATATATTTATTGATTTCTCTTCATAATTATTTTTGAAAAGGTAAAATAAGGATTGGTAGTACTAGAGGACCACGTGCAGGACAGGTAACATTATTGCCTGTGTATACAACTGGTTAATGAATAAGTCATTATACCAATCAGATGCTAGTAGCAGCCCACAGTAACTCCCATAAGAAGTTCTGAAGATAAAGGAAACATCTAGCATAAATAAGGTATGAAAAATGGAGAAAGGAGGTTCTTAGCTCTCTGGATGGAGGGGATCCCGCTTGTACCATCAACCCTCTATCATCACATCATAAGAATAGGCCAGTATCGAATCTCTGGTCAACTTTGAATCATGGTGATAATGTATAATTTTGCTTATTAAAATATATATTAACCCCTTCGTGACGGGAGACGTACAGTGTACGTCCCGTCACAAAGTGGCTATATGACTGGCCACGTACACTGTACGTGCCGAGTTATATTAGCCTCTGTAATGCTGGTAACTGCTGATTCTCAGCAGTTCCAGTCATTAATTAATGCCTCACTATTGAGACATTCATTAATGAAATAGTTAAGCTTTTTTAAAAGCTTCTTTCTTTCATTAATGAAAGAATGAAGCCTTTACATTCAGATACGGGTTCGCTACCGTATCTGACAGCTGAAGATAGCAGAGAGGTAGCAGTGACTCACCTCTCTGCTATTCGTTTTGACAGCTGGAGAGCCTGGCCCGATGTTAAATGATACATTTTGTATCTAGTGGTTGAAATGTATCTCGAGTGAAATGTATCATTTCTGATCGTCTAGGAACGCTCAAAGACCTTTAGCTAGATCTGATTCTGACATGCTGTCAGGATCAGTCTCTAAAGTTATTATTAGCTGTTCCTAAGCTTGGAGCAGCCTGATAATAACTAAAAATTTTAAAAAGTTACTTTATTAAGCAGTCATAGTGATTGCTTGATATAAACTGACAAAAAAAAAAAATATATTTTTTT